AAAAAGAATGAATTAATTTTGCTAGTATTAATTATCTGTAAGAAACTTATTACTCTAAATAATTAGGTATTTTCCTACAAAGAGAGAGAAGCATCCCAATTTAGGTATGGAATTAACCTTCTTTGAACTCAAGAAAACTACAGCTGTGAAATTAGGCCATGGTTAATCTTCTGATTAAAACACCTGGATTTAGCTTATACAATTGTTTAAAAGTTATTTAGTAATTTAAAGGACATTTCCTATAAGTAAACTTTCCCCTTATCCTCAGCAATGAAGAAAAAAATAAAAATAAAGGAGAAAATGTCTCTCCCACAACAAAAGCAAAAAGAAATATCCAGTTTCAAAGAATAAATTTTAGATTTGCTTAGATTCAAATTTTAAAAAATCAGATTATATATACACAATGCCATCAAATTACAGCCAAATGGGACTCTGGAAACTCAAATTTCTCCATATTTCAACAGCAGCAATCTTAGTGCCAGAGTCCACCATGGGGCAGTCCATACTCTTCACATTAATGACAAGAAATAATGGGAATGGCTATTTTGCACAACAAATTGATTACCTTCGGCTTACTTGTTTTGAACATGCTTGCATAATTATTGCAGGGATTGGTGACATATGATACACTATTTACAGAAAATAAGGGTCAGCCCTTAGATTTGGTCAAAGAACTTCTAATTAATCTTCCGCAGGATCCATATGTCCATGGGGACAGTGCTACCCCATTGCTAGAGTCTGATAACTTACCAAACTTAACAAGTAGATGTTGGATCAGGAAACCAGATAGAAGCCAACTCCTGTTACTCAAAAGCACCCTCCCCTGCTTTTTGTCCAGAGTTACAGGACTTCTGTTATTAATATAAGAACATATAACAACTACAGGGGCGCCTGGGTGGCTCAGTGGGTTAAAGCCTCTGCCTTCAGCTGGTCATGATCCCAGGGTCCTGGGTTGGAGCCCCGCATCTGGCTCTCTGCTCAGCAGGCAGCCTGCTTCCCCTTCTCTCTCTGCCTGCCTCTCTGCCTACTTGTGACCTCTATCTGTCAAATAAATAAATAAAATCTTAAAAAAAGAAAAAGAATATATAACAACTACAGTTGAGAAAGCTAATCATTTAGAAAAATTTGGGGGGACCCAGAGCCCTTTGCTGATAAGAGCTAGTATCTTCTTACTGTAAAAACCTAGAAACATCCAACAAATTTTGCACATAAATGAAACCCCTGAAACCCATCCACACACCTCCAACAACTCCTTGGTCAAGATATAAGTATCGTGTTAAGACATGACAACTAGAAGATTAGGTTCATACTTAATTCTCTGTACCTCTAAACTTTCTAGTGCACTGAATGGCCTGGAGTAGATTTTCAGGTACTTTGGGAATCAATAATTTACTAGGGGTTGGGGTTGGTGCTTTTATCCACAGGGAGCTGCAGAGTATCAGTGGAAAGCCTCCTAGGAACTCAGTGCTCTTGTGTGTGAGGTCCAGCACTCTCCCACCACTGCCTCTTGTCTGTTCAGGAGAGAAGGATTCTGGGAAGACTGGGATGGCTGCATAGCAGTGGTGAGTGCTAGTGTGGGTGACAACCAAATGCAGTGCAAGCCCAACATGACCAACTGGACAAGTCTTGAGTAAGGTCACTGCTGTCAGGCTGATCCTGTTTTTGGCTCTTCGCTGATATTCGTTATTAGAATATCATTGTCCTCCAATAAATAGTACAATTAACTATTGCTGTGTCACCAGGAAATCTCTGAAATGAGTCAGAGAAGCAGTGCACTGAGGCATAGGTCCAGAACCAATTATCTCGACAGGGAATTTGTGCTATGGAAAGAATACAGGAGATGGCTTCAAATTTATTCCATGCTCCAGTTTTAGAATCACAGTCCTTTTCAGGGTGAGGAGAGGATTATGACTGCTTTGTGTGTGTGTGTGATAGGGAGATGCAGAAGGAGGTCCCAAAGCTATGGACCCAAACCATACTTTGAGAGATATTTTGAGGCTAGAATTTCTAAGGCACACGTGACCTGTGACTTGACTTTTTCTGATCCAGAGCCTTTAGCATCGTCCCAGAAACCCACCAATGCCTTGACAGTCCTTCACAACAGAGCCACACTAAGCCCTGAAGGCAGGGTGTGTCACTGATAGCTCATCAGTGCAGAGATCAGGTTTCCATGAGAATGCCTCAGTGGCAAAGTTTCAGTTCAATCACAGCATATCACGAACACGAATGTGGTTAAGTCTGCAACTACAGATTATTGTACTGCCTGTGTCTTATTCTGTTCTGGCTTATAGTTACTCCATGTAGTGACTGGCCAGGGTCAGAGCTAAGGGACGATGATCCAAGGGAGAGGAGATCCAGGCTATGCTTGTTGAGAGCTGGTAGTTGGGGTCAACCAGGCAAACAAGGACTCACGATGGGGAGAACGGCTCTGCAAGGTAGCTCAGGCAGACTTTTTTTTTTTTTTTTTTTAAGATTTTATTTGTTTATTTGACAGGCAGAGATCACAAGTAGGCAGAGAGGCAGGCAGAGAGAGAGAGGAGGAAGCAGGCTCCCTGCTGAGCAGAGAGCCTGATGTGGGGCTTGATCCCAGGACCCTGTGATCATGACCTGAGCCGAAGACAGAGGCTTTAACCCACTGAGCCACCCAGGTGCCCCTCAGGCAGAATCTTTAGACAGACTGTGGTCTCCCTGACTTGTCTCAGGCTCTGTCCTCTACTCTTTTGTTGTTCCTTTTCTTTTGTTGTTCTTTGAGCCAAATCTTACTCTTTCTCTAGGGTTTGCTTTCAATGGATCTCTTGGAAAGCTCCTCTAATATCTCAGCTCCACTTCTCTTCTGTGACCTCCTATTACTGAAGAAGAATTATTACCCATGTGGCATTTAAATATTCTCAATAGTCTCCAGTTGTTTCTGGTCATTCTCTTTCCCTAGTTGGATCCTTGAGCACAGGATGTCTGTAGATACTGCTCCATGGGGTGGAGAAAGTACAGAAATCAAGAATTATTGGATTGAGTGAGTTAGAAATCCCACTATTGGTTATTAGAGAGGTAACGCTGAATCCAAATAATTTTATGAACATTGGCGTGGAGAGGGCATGGAATCTTCTCAGCATTTTGCAAACTTTTTGAAAGTAACCCATACTAAGAAATTCTTTTCCCATCACAATACAATAAACACAAATATAAGTAATAGAGACAAAAGTGACCTGAAACAAAACTTACCCTTAGTATATCATGCGATGCACTCTGATATTTTCTGTTCTGTTCCATTTTGCTAAAAAAAAAAATTGCTGGTCACCACCCATTGAATTGATTTCATGATCCGCCAATGGGTGGCCACTTTTTGTTTGCAAAACACAGACTTACCACGTGAGATTGTAGTGAGCTTGACAAGGAGAGCTACCCTGCTTTGCATTCTTCTCTAAAAATCTTAAAAATAATTCTTTTTTCCTCCACAGTTTATATAACATCCAAAGCAAATACTTAAAACAATTCTGAAGTGGATTTAACTGTATTTCACAGCTAACAAGTGGTGAAGTTAAAAGCCATATCCAGACTTAAGATTCCAAATCAAGGGTCATTTCTACTTTATCATGTTACATCCATTATATGATTTGTGTCTGTCTAGCTTTCCCAACTTAGTTGTAAATACCCAGCAGACCAGAAATGCACCTAGCATCTGGCTGGATGCTCAGGAAGGTGCTCAATCTGATAAACAGAGGGGTATAATAGAGTTGGTCCAAAGCCGTATCTCTTATGAGGTATGATTATACTTCATGTATAATCTCATGGCTGTAATAATCTACGGGCCATTGGTCAATGGGGTGGCGATGGAAAAGTTTCCCAAGCTTGCAGGGCTTCTTCAATGAACAGATAAGTACTGACAGAGGAACACTATTTGGTTCCTCCCTGTCTTTCAGCTTTTCCCAGATTTCCAAAAGAAAGTTCCAGAGAGACATTAAAAGCACCAAAGAAGAAGATCTTTGCTTTTACTCGTTTTCCCAAACAGCTGGTTTTCCAAGGCTATCATCTTGGAAATATACCTGGCTTCTATCAAACCCTGAGTCCATGATCAGTGGCAAACTATTGAGAATATGCCCCAATTTCTGCTACCTTGGGCCTCTCCAGCTAAATCCAATGTCCTTGGGGAAACATATACGTCTGTCCTAAGGTATATACTCATGTGTATGAGGAGGTGGGGTAAGAGAGTTTAGACTGAGCAGGCACTGAATCATCATCTGTTGAATGCATGTATGAATGATTATATGGATGAAGAAACTCGAAGTGTAAATATATGCTATCCGTATGTAGGTATCTAGGGTTTTTTATATGCACCTATAGGACTCTCTTTTCCTCAATGTCCTAGGAGGGGGAAATATGACAATAACACAGTCCTCTGGGTACTTGGAAAAGAAGAGACAGGTAGGGAGATGAATTGAGGGGAGAAAAGGGAAGAACTGGAAAGAGGAATGAGGGGGGAGTATGTGGTTGGAACAACAGGAAGAAGGCCCAGCAACACCAAATGTTGACTTCGATCTTTGTTAGTTCTGGAATTACCTTTATCTTACCTGTTACTCTGTATACTTTGTTAGATTCAAAGTACATGTTTCATGTGATGAAAAGTTCCTGTTTACTTATTCTTCCTGAGCCTGTTTAAAAAGGCAGTTTAAGCATCTCAATAAGTCTCTTACAGCTGATAAAATTCTGAGCTGAGCTGAGAAATGGGAGAAAGAGGTGTCATCGTAGCTTCCTAAATCCAGTTCTTGTGGAAGAACAGAGAGAGGAAGGCTTCTCTGACATTGAATCAAACAGAACCCTCTCAGCAGGAGGAAGATAGATGTTGCAATGAAAGGACTCACCTTTCAACCCCGTGTTTGATACAGTTTTGGGAAAAGAACAGCATTCTGTCCAAAAGTCAGGTCAAAAGCCTCTCCACAAGTTGATTTCCCAATCCAGGAGAGGTAATATCAAATAAAACAAAGTCCCTTGCCCCAAATGAGAGCATTAACAAATGTATTTCCTCTTCTGGGAATGGTGTTCTCTCACAGCATCATTCTGAATGATCACTTTCCAGAGATGCAAGACGTTAGTCTTTCAAATGAACTGTATGGTGATGGACAAAGCCAGTGGTTCTAAGGGCAGGAGACTGGTGCTACCCTTGGGCCTGGGAGAAGCATTAGAATCAAGAGCACAGCTACTGGAGCCAGACTGCTTGGATCTGAATTTACTTCTGCTACCAGCTATGTAAGTCACATTATCTTTCTGTGCCTCACATGTGAAAGAGGGAGAAAATAGTTTTATTTCATAGGAATAAATAAGTTAATAAAGGTAATGCGGTGAAAACTGTGTGTGAAAATAGCAGGCATTTAATAAGTCCTAGCTATTAGAGGATATAAGAAAAGAGATAATTCATATTCTATATTCAGAGTTTATTTTTTTATTCTTTTCATTTTAATAAGGACCAGTGGCTTCAAGAATCTTGGAATGATAGAACTGAAAGGAATGTTTATTTTACAGATTTGCAAAAAGCCTAGAGTTGAGCTCTCCAAGGCCACATAGCTACCTACTGGCACATTCAGGTCTAAAAACCAGAATTCCAGATTCTAGACCATTCCCGACTGTGCCACACTCTTACCCTGGCAGGCGATGTCCAGGACCAAGAAAGTTCTATCAGAGCAATAATAATCAGAATTGCAGTATCTCCCCAAAGGACCTCCTTATCATTCCAAAGGCAATCTTAGGCTGAGTCATTCATTCATTTAACCATGCACTTACTCACTCAGCACTGAGTTAGGCTACCCACAGAAGGTACAGAAATGTAAAACACAGGTGTTGTCCTTAATGGACTTCAACTAAAATTGGGGGGATAAGATAGGCAGAGATTTAAATGATATGGTAATAGTCATTTACATAGTGTGAAAAGTATTAGAGAGGTTAGGCATGTTTTGCCATGTAACCAATCACATGTTCAGTAAGAGAGTTTATGGTAGAGTGAGTAAATTTATGAATGATTAAAATAAATGAAGCCAAGTGGGTCTACTAGGAGTTGGGCTGTGTTTAATGTTTTCTGTAGCTGTAGGTGCCAGAGGCTTCACATTTCTGTTGTGTCTTTGTTTTTGTCTCCCCTGTTGTCCTGGGATTTCTCTTCCTTAGACAGAGTCTGTGGTTGTGGTGGTGAGGTTTTGGGAAGGGGTAGTGTTCTGTAACTGTATCGTTAAACCTTAGTGTTTTAGTGTGCCTGGGTCCCTGGGATGTGACCTTCACAAGTGTTTCTTAGAATCCCCCAAACACTTAAGTAAGACAGAAAGGTAGACGGAACTAGAATCAAGGAAGTATACTTTTCCCAGATAGAGTAAGACTCTGGTAAAATCTTACTGGAGAGTAGAACTTTGTTGTGGAAGAAATTCTGGGTTTATTAAAAAAAAAAGAGAGAGAGAGAGAGAGAGAACATTTCTTCATCACGTGTCAGAGCTATGAGGTTACCTTTCTTGGCTCTTCACCATGAGAACCTGGTGGGGTTTTGAGAAGTAAAGCCCGTGAAAATAAGAGAGACGCCCTAAGAGCTCATAGTAGTCCACACTCAGCTCCGGCAATTTGTTGAAATTATCACAAAAATGTTCTTACCAATGATGCATGGCTTTAGTGCTTCACATAAGCAGATCTCAGAGACTCTCTGGATTCCATTCTTTATTTTATTTATTTACTTATTTTTAAGTAGGCTCTGTGTCCAGTGTGCCGATCAACCCAGGGCTTGAGCTCATGATCCTGAGAGAAGACCTGAGCTGAGATCAAGAGTGGAATATTTAACTGACTGAGCCATGGAGGTGTCCCTGGATTCCATTCTTTGTCCGGATTTTGGGGTGGCTAGCCCCACAACCTCAGCTCCCTTATGAATCCAATAAAGGTGATTAATTTTTAGTTTGTTCAGTTTTTTCACTTAAGATTGTGACTGATTTCCAAGCTGTCTGTAAGTAGGGCTGAAACCAGAAGTTTCAATTTCATTTTTTTTGCATTTGCATATGCAGTTATACCAGCACCATTTCTTGAAAAGATTATTCTTTCTCCATTGAATCTTTTGGCATCCTTGTCAAAAGTCATTTGACCATAAATGTGAGAATTTATTTCTGAACTTTCAATTCTACTCTATCTGTATGTCTACTCTTATGCCAGTACAACTCTGTCTTATTTACAGTAGCTTTGTAGTAAGTTTCGAAATGGAGAAGTGTTAAGTCCTTCAAATCCACTATTCTTTTTTGTTTGTTTTGGTTATTCTGCTTTCCTTGCATTTATAAATTTTAGGGTCATCTTGTCATTTTAGAAGGAAGCCATCTGGGGTTTTGAAATGGACTGCATTGAGTCTTTAGATAAATTTGGGGAGTTTTGCTATCTTAATAATACTGTCTTCTAAGGGTACCTGGGTGTCTCAGTTGGTTAAGTGACTGCCTTTGGCTTAGGTCATGATCCTGGAGTCCTGGGATCAAGACCTGCATCGGGCTCCCTGCTCAGCAGGAAGTCTGCTTCTCCCTCTAACCATCCTACCTCATTCTCTCTGTCTCTCTCTCTCAAATAAATAAATAAAATCTTTTAAAAAAAATGCTATCTTCTAGTTCTTAAATATCAGGTGTCTTTCCACTTATTTAAGTCTTCTTTAATTTCTTTCAATAATGTTTTATAATTTTAAGTGTACAAATACTATACTTTGTTGAATATATTCCTAATTATTTTATTCTTTTAATTCTACTCTGTGGGATTGTTTTCTAGATTTCATTTTTAGATTATGCATTGTTCCTGTACAGAAATGAAATAATTATTTTTTTATTTCAATTGTTTCATTTGAGTATAGTTGATACCCAATGTTACATTATTTTAGGGGTACAACATAGTGATTCAACATCTCTAAACATTATATCATGCTCACCACAGTGTAGCTACCATCTGTCAACCATACAATGCTATTATAATATCACTGAATATTTTTCCTGTGCTGTGACATTTATTTCCATTACTTATTCATTCCATAACTGTAAGTTAGTATTTTCCAGTCCCTTCACCTGTTTTGCCCATCCACCCACCCCTTGCCTCTGGGGATCATCAGTTTTCTGTATTTATAAGTCTGATTCTGTCTTTTTGTTTATTCGTTTGCTTTGTTTTTTAGATTCCACATGCGAGTGAAATAATATGGTATTTGTCTTTCTCTCTCTGACTTATTTCACTTAGCATACTATCCTCTAGGTCAATCTATGTTGTCTCTAATGGCAAGATATCTTTCTTTTTTATGGTTGTGTAATAGTCCATTGCTTATGTGTATATATGTATGTGTACGTGTGCCACATCTTCTTTATCTGTTTATCTATTGATGGACACTTAGGTTGCTTCCATATCTTGACTATTGTAAGTAATGCTACAATAAAATAGGGGTGCATATATCTTTTTAAATTAGTGTTTTCATTTTCTTTGGTAAGTATTCTGTAATGGAAATATTGGATCACATGGTATTTTTATTTTTAATTTTTTGAGGCGCATCCACATTGTTTTCTGCAGTGGCTGTACCAATTTACATTCCTACCAACAGTGCTCAAGGGTTACTTTTTCTGCACATCCTCACCAACACTTATTATTTCTTGTCTTTTTTATTTTAGCCATTGTGACAGGTGTAAGGTGATATCTTTAAACTAATTGATTTTTTTATGTTGACCTTGTGTCCTGCAACCTTGCTAACCTTGTTTATTAGCTCTTATGGTTTTAGAATGTTTATTTTAGGGCAGTCAGTTAATGTTTCTCTTTGGTCCAGTGACATTGGGATTTAAGATATCCACAGGATTTACCAATCAGAGCCATTGTTATCCTAAGAAAATACTATCTTAATAAGATGGTGATAAGATAAACAGTCCTAGACTAAATGATGGGGTCCAGATGACTTGTTTTTTATTATGGGCCTGACATGCGCATGTTTATAGACTGAAGAGAAGGAACAAGTGAGAAGAAAGAGATTGATATTTGAACAAAAAGAAGAAGATTGCTAAAGTCTCAGAGGAGTCAGAAGGGGGTGAGTTAAGTTTAGGCAATGACTTTGTGATGCTTTAAGGTTTACCTTATGTTCTTAGATTTGGAGAAAAGAACCAACGATAGATATGAATGAGAATGTGAGCTAGAGAATACATTAAAACTGCTGACTAAAAACAAGAAGCTAATGTAGAGTAAGCTTGATGATTTCAATTTCTCCATAACATAGGAGCATAGGTGATCAGCTGAGGGTTTTGAGGATAATGGCAGATGTTTGGAATAATTGTTGGGGAGGTTGGAGAGCAGTCTGACCAAAAGCAAGTAATGTCAATAGGTGTTTCTGACCAAAAGCAAGTAAAAGGGTCATTAGGGACATGTGCACAAAAGAATAAGGAGATATATAAGCAATAATCTTGCATTGATCTTGGGATAGAGATTTACTGTACAATTGCTGTAGCAGGGAAAGTATATTAACAAAATGTATCAAAGATACTGGCAAAGAGTAATTGAGACAACCAATCATGTTATTACAGATTAGGTTGACAAGGGAGCTTTAGAAGTTCCTCATAGACTGGGAAAAAATTGTGGGGTTAAAGAACTGGAGGTCTATGCAGTCAAAAAGTAGGTTTAATGGGAATTAAGGCACAGGAGAGGTAGAAGAATGAGAAGTCCCATAATGGAATAATGGAATTCAGAATTTCGGATCTGGTGCAGCTCCAGAGGTTAGTAAGATTCCAGGCATGATTTAGCCAAGTAGAGCAGAGGTGACAGCTACTGGAATTATGGAAGTCCAAGTCTGTGCTTCGGATGGTTATTTAGATGAACCTTAATATCATCCAGAATTATAATAATAACTGGGGTAGAGAGAAAGATGCAGGTCTTATCACTGTCAGTTAATGAAGAAGAGTACCTGAGAAGTTGGGAGATGGCAGTAAGAAAATGAGGCAGAGGTTGGTCTATCTGAATGACTCAACCTCATAGAATCAAGGGCTTTTATCCAGCAACCCCGAGGGGTACAACAGTCCCATTAATAGAGTGGCACATTCTGGACTGGTTCTTAAGGTAGGGGAGCATCATAAGAGAATCCTTGGGGGTGAAGTAGGGTGATAGTCCATATCTATACTAGAAAACAGCCTGGTAACTCCAGTATACCCCATTAAAAAGCGTTAATTTCCACTGTTCTTCCCTTCCCAGTGAGAACTGCTATTTTATGGATGGCTACAGAAATGCAGGAGAATTCCTGAGGATCATGTGGCTTCTGTCCCATCCATACTCCTGTTTGCTACTGAAGACTATATAAAAACATGAATCTAGATTTCTGACAGATCTTTCCAAGGAAAAATGCACATAATTCTCATAATTATATTCCACTTGGTACGAAAGAGCCTACATTCATATATTCACTTTTTATAACTGAGATGTTATTTATAGTGAAATGAGCAAATCTTAAGAGCAGTTTGGTGAGTTTTGATGAATGTGTAAGCCCTCAAGCTATAGAATATTTCCATTACTCTGGAAAGTTCCCTGGTGACCCCTCTAACTCAATTCCTGCCCTTCTTGAGGCAACTACAGTCCTGATTTCTAGCATCAAATAATAGTTTTGCCTGTTTTAGAACTTCATATTAATGGAAACACAGCAGGTACTCTTTTGTGTCTGGCTTCTTTTGCTTAGCCTAGCAAGGTTTAAAGTTAGAATTTGAGGATTAAAGTAAGTCATTCTAATGGAAAATTCTCATTATTACTCAGGTGACTGAATTTAGACCAGAATAAAGGCAGGTGTGTGCAAGATCTCTGGTGTGTTTCCACCTCCTGGATAGTTTGCCAAGAAAGCCTAAGATAAATTTTAGTTAAGCATTATAGGAACTATCCTGTGGCCAAAGGCCACTAGGCTTTTTGGCCCCATCCCTGAACTTTTTCTTGTCTCTGATATGGATCAGAGGGGATATTTCTTTCCCATACCTTCTAAGAGGAATAATAAACCTGCTATGTGCTTGGTAGGATGATAGTGTTCTTGCTTTAGGGCATAAACAGAAAACCCTAGAATATATTTTCCAACTTAAAAATGAAATATCAACTTAAACCTGAAATCCTGGAATAAATTTCTTAACATCTGTTTCAATAGAATCCAAAGTCTGAGCGAATATCTTTCCCTTTCTTGAAGTTCTCCTTCCCTGGTGATGCTATGGTTGAAATGTTTGTGTCCCCTCCAAATTCATTTGTTGAAGCCTTAACCTCCAAAGGGATGATTATTTAAAGGTGGGGCCTTTTGGAGGTATTTAAGGTTGGATGAGATCTTGAGGGTGGGGTCCTCATGGTGAGACTAGTGCTCTTAAAAAAGAGACACCACAGAGTCATCTCTTTCCCCCTTCCTCTCTCTCCCCCTCCATCTCTTCCTCCTCCCCTCAATCTATATCGCTTAGCCACCCCTGCCATCTTCCTCCCTCCCTCCTTCCCAAGACAAAAAGACTTAGAATAAATTATCTTCCTGGCACCTTGATCTTGGACTTCCAACCTCCAAAACCATGAGAAATACATTTCTGTTGTTTAAGCTGCCCAGTCTTTGGTATTTTGTTATGGCAGCCCAAGCTGATTAAGGTAGAAGGTAATACTTGTTAAGTACAAACTACATATAAGACCCTCTATCACATTTAATCTTTGAAACAAAACTAGGAGGCAGGTATTAAGAGTTCCATTTTGCCAGGAAGGAAAATAAAACTCAGCATCACACAGCTGGCAAATGATGACAAATATCAAACTGCCTTCCATTCCAAGGAAGTTGCACCATTTTATTTTCTCACTAACAATCCTCATATGCTTTCTAAGTAACTCCCAACCCTTTTAAAGATTCCTGATAGGTCTATCTCATTATAAGTTCTTGATCCACATTGCTTTCTTTTTTGAGCTAATGGTTGAAAACAGGGACAGGTTCTGAAACCATTGGAATATTGGCTTTGATGTTTCCATATCAGCATATATTCATCTATGGGAGGATTCTTAGGGAAACAGGAGGGTACTTGGTATAGACAAGCAATGGTGCCTTGACAAGGAAAAGCATCATGGGCAACATTTAGGGAGATAGCTAGAGGGAGGAATATTCTAATTTTACCTTGTTTTACTGCTTACATTGTCCTAAGGGGGTATTAGATCAGAAGTGAGATTAGGGGAGCTGAAATTGCTTTGGAATGATAGGAATGCTTTGCAATGCTATGTCCCTAATCCACTGTAAATTTTGATTAAAATCTGCCTATGGGGTGAAGAATTTAGGAGCAGAGCTCAACAAAATAGGAGCCTCAAAACACAAAACAAGTGCAAATACAATTGAAGAAATACACATTGATGAAACTATGACCTCTTGGATCATCTTTTCCTAATGCTTTCTCCGTGAGGAGACTAGTCACATCAGCCTGAGGTAGTAGGATAATGTCATGACATTGAAGGCTGTCTTGGATGGGTATCATCTACAAAGATAGCTGTTGTATCAAGGTTACACAGTTGGGAAGAGGCTGAGACAGTATTTGAACCTGCTCTCTTTCTCTCTGTTTCAGATTTATTAAGTTTTACTTGACATAAAATTGTAAGATATTTAAAGAGTACCTTGTGATGATTTGATACACGTGTATACATTGTAAAAGGATTTCTCCCATCTAGTTAATTAACACATCTGTCACCTCATATATTTTTACATGTAGTATATATGTAATATAGATCGTAATGTTACGTATATACTTTATAATCACATAAATACATTTGGTGAGAACACTTAAGTTCTACTCTCAGCAAATTTTCATAATAAAATACAGTGTTACCAACTATAGTCAATGTTATACATTAGATCTGTACTCATTTTATTTACTTACTTATTTACTTATTTATAGATTTTATTTTTAAGTAATCCTTTACACCCAACATGGGGCTTGAACTCATTACCCTGAGATCAAGAGTTGTATGCTCTACCAACTGAGCTAGCCAGGCACCCAAGAACCTTATTCATTATATAGCTAAAAGTTGGTACCCTTTTATCAGACTCTCCTTATTCTCTCCACCCCCAAGAGCCCCAGTCCTGGCAACCACTTTTCTATTTTCTGTTCCTATGAGTTTGGCTTTCTCTTTAGATTCCACACCCAAGTGATGCCATGTGGTATTTGTCTTTCTCTGTCTAACTTAATTCACTTAGCATTATGCCATCCATGTTGCTGCAAATGGCAGGATTTCCTTCTTTCTAATGGCTGAGTAATTCTCCCTTGTATATATATATATCCCACATCTTCTTTATCCATTCATCTGTTGATGAATGCTTAGGTTGTTTTCATATCTTTGCAATTGTGAATAATTCTGTAATGAGCATGAAAATGCAGGTATCTCTTAGATATCCTATTTTTGTTTCCTTGGATATATACCCAGAAATAGGATTGCTGGATCAAATGGTGCTTCTATTTTTAATTTTTTGAGGGATCTCCATGTTGTTATTCATAGTAACTGCACCAATTTGCATTCTCACCCATGGTGCTAAAGGATTCCTTTCCCCCCATATCCTTGCTAATACTTGTTACCTCTTTTCTTTTTGAGAAGAGCCGTTCTAATAGGTGTGAGGTGATTTCTTGTACTTTTAATTTGCTTTCCCCCAATGATTAGTGATGTTGTGCACCTTTTCAAGTATCTGTTGGCCTTTTGTATATCTTCTTTGGAAAAATACCCATTTTATACCTATTTTACCTCTGCCTATTTTTAAATCAAATTGTTTGTTTTTGCTATTGAGTTGTGTGAGTTCTTTATATATTTTGGATATTAACACTTTATCATATATATCATTTGCAAATAGACCTTTTTTTTGGATGGTTTCTTTTGCTGAACAGAAGCTTTTTAGTTTGATGTAGTGTTTGATGTTTGTTTATTTTCACTTTTGTTACCTTTGCTTTTGGTGTCAATTCCAAAGCTCTTTGCCAAGATCAATGTCAAGGAGCTTACCACTGATGTTTTCTTCTATGAGTTTTATGGTTTCAGATCTTAACTTTAAGTCCTTAATTCATTTTGAGTTGCATTTTGCATATTGTGTAAGATAGGGGTTCAGTTTCATCCTTTGCCTGAGGTTGTTTTTGCAATACCATTTGTTGAAGAACTATCCCATTTCTTATTGTATATTCTTGGATCCTTTGTTGTTAATTAATTGACCTTACTCTATGCGTGAGTTTATTTCTGGGTTCTTTATTCTGTTGATCTATGTGCCTCTTTTCATGCCAGTATTATACTATTTTGATTACTGTAGCTTTAAAATATAGTTTGAAATCAGGAAATATGAAACTGAACCTGGTTTCTTTGATTTCAAAAAATTCTTTCCGCTATGTAATTTTCCCACTTTTCCGTAGGAGTTTCTTACTGATCTGTTACATTGGCCCCCAGCAAGTATGCAGGTCACTTTCTTTATTCCCCATAGCACAGCTGAGAAATATTTGTTTATTTATTTTTAATTTCTTTTGAAGATTTATTTATTTGAGAGAGAGAAAAAGCAAGCAGTGGGAGAGACAAAGGGTGAGAGAGTCTAAAGCAGACTCCTTACTGAGTGTGGAGCCTGACCCAAGGCTCTACCCAATGACCTGAGATCATGATCTAAGCTGAAACTAAGAGTTGGATGTTTAACAGACTGTGACACTTAGGTGCCCCTCAGAAATGTTTTTTTTAAAACAATGATTGATTTTTTCAGGTTTTCTATTCCACCTTAGGTCAAATTTAATCATTTGTATTTCAGGAAGTGTATTCATTTTATCTAGGTTTTCCAGTGGATTAGTGTTAATTTGTTATAGTGTCATAATTTCCTTTTATCTTTTATATATGTGCATCTACAACTTTCACTCATTCCTAATGTGTTTTTTGTGGCTTCTCTTTTTTCCTTGACTAATCTTGCTTTTATTATATTCAATTGGAAAAAAAAAAAAAAAGAGGAGGGGGAGTTTGGGGATCTGTATATGCCATCTATTCGATAACTGTTTTTTTATTTTTATGCACTGTATGCCATGCACTGATTGTAGCTAAATGTTGCTGATATTTGGAGTGATCATATGCCCCAATTTATGTCTTTTTTCAGGTATAATAATTAATAGCAATCTCCTTACTCTCAAAAGTACGTGATCAACCTACTGATGGGTCAGATAAAATTAAAGTTGAAATGTATAAGTGGTAGCCGTAGCAAGACAAATTTTGGCAGATTGTTGAAGATGGATGCCTGGTTGGAAGGGTTTACAAAAATGGATGACAACAACTGGAGACAGTTAGATGATTATTTTGAAGACTTTTGCTACAAGAAAGAGAAGAAATGAGGTAGGAGGTAGAAGAGATGGAATTATTTGTTTGCTATTTTACCCATTTCTGCTTTTATTATTTTTATTTCTTCTTTCTACTTGCTGTGGGCCTATTTGAGTTGTTTATTTCCTAGCTTCTTAGGTTAATGTGTAATGCATTTGAAACCATATATACATGTGTCCATGAACAAAACATATAGGTTCTGATATGGGGTGCTTTTATTTTTACTCATTTCTAAACAATTTGAAATTTCAATTTTGGCATTTTCTTTACCAATCAATTATTTAGAAGTGACTTAAAATATCTAGATGCATGGATTCAAGTTTTTTAAAAAATTCTAGTTTTAATATACTATATTCAATGAAGTGGTCTATGTATTTCTATTTATCTTTTTTTATTATGTTATGTTAGTCACCATGCAATATATTTATTAGTATTTGATGTAGTGTTCCAAGATTCATTTTTTACGTATAATACCCAGTGCTCCATGCAATATGTGCCCTCCTTAATACCCACCACCAGGCTCACCCCACCCCCCTTCCGCCAAACCCTCAGTTTGTTTCTCGGAGTCCACAGTCTCTCATGGTTCATCTCCCCCTCCGATTTCCCCCCTTCACTTTTCCTTTCCTTCTGCTACTGTCCTTCATGTTATTCCTTATGTTCTGCAAGTAAGTGAAACTATATGATAATTGACTTAAGTCTATATATCTTTTTAAAAATTTATTGTAATTTTCTTAGTGGACTTCTATAGGACCAATTTTTGTAAATTTTAACTGAGCAAATGAACAAATTATGTATTCTCTGTTGACTATGAGTTCTATGCACATCTATTAGCATAAACTTGTTAATTATCTTATGTAAGTATTCTATATTTATTATTACTCATAATACATCATAGTGGGAGACTTTAACAGACCTCTCAGATGTGGATTTCATAATTTCCTTTTGTGATTTTACCAATTTTTCATGTACTCCCAAATGATGTTAGGAACATTTAAGTTGATGATTATTATATCTTCATGGTGAATTATTTAACAATGTGAAATGTCCTTTTTTTTATTATTATGTTCAGTTAGCCAGCATATAGTACATCATTAGTTTGTGATGTAGTGTTCAAGGATTCATTAGTTGTACATAACACCCAGTGCTCATCACAACATGTGCCCTCCTTAATACCCAGTTACCCCATCTTCTCGCCCCCCTCCCTTCCGTACCCTCAGTTTGGTTCCCAGAATCCAGTCTCTCATGGTTTTTCTCCTTCTCTGATTTCTTCACTTTCAGTTTTCCCTCCCTTGTGATCCTCTGTGCTATTCCTATGTTCCACATATGAGAATTGTCTTTCTCTTATTGACTTATTTTACTCAAAATCATCTCCTCCAGTCCCGTCCATGTGGATGCAAATGGAGGATGTTCACCCTTTCTGATGGCTGCGTAGTATTCCATTGTGTATATGGATCACATCTTCATCCATTCATCTGTTGAAGGGCATCATGGCTCCTTCCACAGAAGGAGTTATGTTTGGTTAGTGTGGATATTGCTGCTATGAACATTGGGCCGCATGTGCCCCTTCTTTTCACTACATCTGTATCTTTGAGGTACATACCAGTAGTGCAATTGCTAGGCTGTAGGGTAGCTCTGTTTGTGAAATGTCCTGTTTTAAACTTGTGATCTTTCTGACTTTCAATTCTGTTTTGTGTGATATTGATCGGGCTGTGAGCAGCTTTCTGTTAGTAGTTGTTGGGAGTAAGTTTTCAAACTTGGAGTAGTCATAGTTTTGGCATTCTCTAGTAAGCTGCACGTGGCTGGATTTTTAAAATCCAACCTAATTTATCTCTTATAAAAAAAACTTACCCAAGTTGTTTTTATCCTTATTTGGATGTATTTAGACCTATTCCCACCATGTCATTTTGTGTTTCCATTTACCATCCTTTCTCTCATTTCCTCTTCAGCCTTTCTATGGGTTACTAGGATTTCCTTTGTTCCTCCTTTCATTTACTACTTTGAAAACCACACATATTTTATTTTTATGCTTCTAGAGGTTATGCTTAAATTTTTATCATAAGTTGTTAAATTTATGTTGTTCTAACTGCGTCTGAAGTTACGCACTATCTACTGATCATTGTTGATGAATCTTCAAATGCTTTTATTTTCCTGACTTCTTTGCCAGCATCCCTGCCTCCATCTTCCATATCCCATGTTGACATAACCTGAAGTTTTGGCACCAAAATATTGTTTTTAAAAAATAATTTTTTAATTGCATCCCACAGAAAAAAAAATAGTTATATTATTTTCCTGCTAACTACTGCAGCTTATTGTTAAGTCTTGGATTCATTTTCTTTGAATATTCTCTAGTAGTTCTCTTAACTTTCAGACAGCACCTATTGAGTTGTTAAAACTCGGACTTTCTGGGTATTTGAAAAAGATCTTAGGTCATTCTCACATTTCAATAATAATATGTCTGAATATAGATATTTAGATTTGAGCTTCTCTGCTTTCAGCAAAGTAAAGATACTGTCCGATGTCTTTTTTTCACCCTACACTGTTGATGAAACACCTAATGCCAAATCTGATTAGAATTACTGTGAATAGTTATTTTCTCACCCTCTCTGGAAGTTTCCACAGCTTCTCTTTATCCTTGTAGCTATTCTCGTGCCTAGCATATTAACTATTTAATGTTACAAACTGTTACTACCTTTGTACATTACCTTTTGTGTGTGTGTGTGTGTGTGCATGTGTATGGTTATTTTATTTTATTTATTTATCTTTTTAAGAAAGGTTTGTTTATTTATTTATTTGAAAGAGAAAGACACAGTGACAGAGAGAACACAAGCAGAGGGAGTGTGGGAGGGAGAAGCAGGCTTCCCACAGAAAACGGATCCCGATGCAGGGCTTGATTCCAGGACCCTGGGATCATAATCTGAGCTGAAGGCAGGTGCTTAACCAACTGAGCCACACAGGTGCCCCTGGTTATTTATTTTGATCCTGCTGTATATTTTGTGAACCATTTCAATATGAGGATTTATGCTTCATCAACTGTAAGAGGAAATCTTATCCTGTAATTTCTTCAGATTTTCTCTCTCTCTTCTATCCTCATTATTCATCATTAGGTAGATACTATGACTTATAGAACTTTACTCCACGTCTCTTAAATTTTCATCTTTTTTTTTCACCCATGCTTCATTCCTAGGCTGTCTTCCAGGTATCTAATTTCCTTCTCAGCTGGGCCAATTCTTCTATTCCTACCTACTGAATTTTTAATTTCAGTAATCACGTTTTCTTCCCTAAGGTTTTTGTTTGGTTTGTTTTATAGCAGACAGTTCCTAACTGTGATGTCACACTATGTCTGAAGACACTAAATTTGTGTTAAAGGCCTTTTCTTATCATTCCATTAATTTTCCGTAATTACAATTCTTCTGTTGGGTTGTTAACTATTGTTCATGGTGGCTTCATTGCCAGATGTTGGTGAGTTTGCCTATGGGCTCCTCTTTTTGGTTTGGATCCCCTATCTGGACTCTCTATCTTTCTGGTCCCACAGCCAGCCTTCAGAGAGGTGGAGAAGTAGCTACTGAGGTTTGTGCTCTGCATGTTTTTGGGATGAATGGGAAAAAGATGGGATGTATGCTGGATGGGATATTTTAGAAGCCAATATTTTGAGCAAAGTCATTCCCTCTGGGCATTTTCAGGCTTTGCAGCCCTTCAGCATGGCCCCTGCCCAAAGACAGACCTGAATGTTTGTGGAGGATGTGGAGGAGGGGAATGGGTTACCCACGGCACAGTGTGGGTACCCCAACTCATTTCCCTGTCATGTGCTTTGAAGCCCTCCTTTTAGCACCCAACTTCTACCACCTGAAAGCCTGAGATAGCCCTGGTGATTCTTCTGTCTTCTGTGACATACTTTCCAAAAGGTTCCAGGACAAATTTCAGGCTCCACTTACCCTTTTCAAACTTATCCTGTGTATTTTTAGATTCTCAGGAATTTTTTCATAATTTTGACTAGCTAAAAATTTCTCTTTGACTTTACAGAATAAGATATGTATTCTCATACTCAATAAAGTAATTTAAAGCTTAGAGTAGATGGATAGAGATGGTTGTGGAAAGAGGGGACATGGCTGTCTCCAATTAGTTTCCTATCTGGAAGGCAAAATTTCTACTTTTACTTTGGGTTGTTTGCCCTTTTTTTCCCCATTGATATTGGAGATAGTAAGCAAATTGTTACTTACGTTGTAAATATTTGTTAAATATGCCTTTTGGTTTTGTTTAAGGTAACTTTTGAGATACAGAAATTTTACATTCTTAGGAGGATAAACTTCATTTTTTACTTTAAGATTTCTGGATGTTGTGTTGCGTTTAGGAGACCTTCCTAATACATAATTAAAACCCATTTTTATTAAAGTGCCCTTTACTATTTCATGGTTCAGTCTTTTGTGATTAGATATTTCATGTTTGGATATGGATGGATCAGGGTTTTAATTTTGTGTTTTGTGTGAGATTTGGTGTGTGTCCCATTCCCTCTCTTCTAAAATGAAAGTTTTTTTTAATTGCTGATGTCCTTCCTTGTCCTGTTAACATGTTCTAGGTGGGTGGGTACGCGGGAGTGGTTAATATTTTTTAGTTCATAGGTCATCCCCCCATAATGAACCAAGTTGATATTTGAGGATTGGACTGTGCAGCACTCAGAGTTCTTGAACCTTGAGATGAATGCAGTACCTGCCTGGGATTGGTGTCCTCTTTCTTGGGGAGCAGGTGAGTAGGAAGAAGGGCATGTGTAGATACATGAAGCCAGAGAAGCTGACCATGGCCGCAAGTGTTGTCCACTGAAATAATTTTCCAGTTTTCCCTTTGGCCAGATGGGTAGAGTCTATCACCCTGCCTCTCTCACTGTAGAGCTAGGTGACTAAATTCTCCAGTGCAATGTGAACAATATTCATGCCAGACCCATTTATATTCTTCCATCATCCTTTTTGAAGCCTGGATAAAGGCGATGAAGTTCTAGGAGATGGTGCCATGAGACTCAGGGATTCTGAATATGTGCGAGGCCATATGGAGGGGAGCTTCCTGCTGCCCAACAACTCTTGCCTCGGACTAACACTTAAGTGGGAAATGCGCTTCATTCGTACCTGCCCAAATAAGACAGGAGATTAAAGTTTCTGGTGGATATGCCGTATCGAGTTAGGAAAGTTCCCTTCCATTCCTAACTTACTGTTGTTGTTTTAAGCAGGAGTGGGTGTTCAGTTTTATTTGAAAAAACTTGACAAGAGAGAAGAAACTGAGCTACTTGGCAATAGAGAAGAAACTGATGGTTACTCAAGAGTATCACAGGTATTTAAACCATTAATTACTCCCCTAATGTAATAAATCAAAATTATTACCATGGAATTTTGATTTAACCATGTTAACATTTTCTAATTTGTCTATTTTTGCTTTTATTTTTATTAATTCCTTCCTTCTACTTTCCTTGGTTTTATTTTGGGTTCTTTTTCTAATATCTTGAATGTCGTTCATTTTTTGTTTGTTTCATTAGAAAGGCATTCAGGGCTATGAAGTTTCCTATATTCCACAAGTACTGATTTATAACATTCTTTTATTTTTTGCTAACTGACCTGTTAATTCGTAAAGTTCTTTGTTAAATGACTTCTGTAATAAGAACTGACATTGTGTGCTTTATGCCAATCACAGACCAGCAGAACATCTTTACATTTCTCCATGGATTTTGGAGTGTTCTGGAACATTCTTTTCTTTTTGTAACTCATTTCTGGGTAATGAGTAAGGAGCCAAAGCAACCCCACATTCCTCTATAATATGTCTGGTATTTTTGAGGTACAGTTTTACCTGTGAAAGTCTCTTAACAGGTAATTTATTTCTTTTTCATTACTAATTAGAAAAATGTACATATTGAACTATAGCCATATTAAAACTTTTGAATTCTAAAATTATCAAAAATGTGAAAGCCTTAAGCAGTGAAAATCTGTATATTTCTGCCTTTAAATATTTTAATATCTATGTGTAAAAAACAAAGTATCTTATTAATATGATATGGTGATATATGTTTCTTTCTTATCTTTATCTTTAAAATTCCTTGGGGATAGAAACTTAGTATGACCATAAAATAACCTTTATATGATTTGCTATGGGGATTTAAAGGTACATTTTCTTATGTCTCCTCTGGTCATCTCATTATTAAAACCCAAGTTATAGTTTTTAATGCACAGTGAATTTGTTCCTTAGGGGGCTATCAAATATCATTTTGGTCTGTATTGTCACAGTTTGGACTCTGGTGCCAACGTTTATGAACTCTGTAACATTTGGCAGGTTTCTTTTTCTTTCTCTGCCTCTCTTTCCTCAAATGTAAAGTGGGGCTAACCATGGTCCCTACCTCATAGGAGTTTCCCAAGGATGAAGAGTTCAAAATGTAAAGTTCTTAGAACAGTCCTGGGGACAATGTTAGTTCTCGGTACTTTAGCTATTCTTATTATAATCTAGAACCAATCACAACTACCTTCTCTAAAAACCTCTTTCTTTCTTTCTTTCTTACTTTCTTTCTTTTTCTTTTTCTTCTTTCTTTCTTTTTTCTGATTTTCTTTTTATTGTTAAAGGCCCTTTCTGTTTTAGGGACATTATATAAACTGTCACCATCTTATTACAAACCCAGTGATATGGGTATTATTATGCTATATCAGAAGCTGAGAGAGTGACATAATTTTCGAATTCACAAGGCAGTATGTGACAGACTTGAGACTTGATTTTATGTTTGTCTGTCACTTAAGTCCATGCTCTTCCCATTATATCACTCAGCCTGATGTCACCACTCTTTATAAAATCCACCACCATAACCTTTTTCTGCCATTACCAAACCAGAGCTTCTCAGAGCAGCTGTGTCCTTAGAGTACCAAGGTGGTACCTCTGTAGCTCGTCTAAGACAGTAAATAGCCCGGTTTGTTGACCTGGAGCAGTGATCACACTGCCCCTGCCTGATGCAGGACACTTCGTCTTTAGCACCACAGACAGGAGAATGCAGACATTAATGGTTTACTGCTACTTATCTCAGTTGACCCCAAATAATGTGTCAGTCAATACCTAGCCTTCTGATTTTCTCCATGCCATCTCTCCCAATCCCCCATTTCAAATGGGTGTTGAAGATGGCCTGTCTCTAGCTCTCCCGGCAGACCCTCGGCGTGAAGGCACTACACAATATTGCATAGGATTCCTGGGTTTCATGTAGGAACAGGAGGAAAATGGGTGCTTTCCAAGATAGAAACTGGAGGAGTCATTGCTGGGAAAATTCTTCCTAGGCCTAAAATTAATTAAGGCTTTGGTTGTGTTCATTTGAAGACCTATGTCCAGTCCAGGTCCATGAGGCCTACATTCTCTGGACATTCTGATCCCGCACCCTCCCTAGCACCTCTTCCCACTTCTCAGAGAAGCCTCCAATCAGAGTGCTTGCTGCCCATTTGACTGGATTGTTTGATGTATTGTCCAGTCTCTCCAATCTTTTCTTAAATGTTTGTATCCCCCATATCCTCTGCCAAGTGGGGACCATGTAGTGATCATTATCTTCTTCTTCTTCTTCTTTTTTTTTTTTGCATTGTGGTAAAGTATACATGACATAAAACTTACCCTTTTAACCGTTTTTCAATATACAGTTCAGTGGCATTAAACACATTTGCATTACTGGGCAACTATCACTACCGTCTATCTCAAGAACTTTTTCATTATCTCAAACCAAAACTCTGTACCCATTAAACAACAACTCCCCATTATTCCCTTTCCCCAACCCCTGCAATCATCATTCTACTTTCTGTTTCCATGAGTTTGACTGCACTTACATACGTGACACTAGTCCTAACAATCTTTGTCCTTTTGTGTCTGGCTTATTTCACTTAGCATAATGTCTTCAGGGTTCATCCGTGTTGTGGCATGTGTCAGAACTTCATTCCTTTTTTTTTTTTTTAAGATTTTATTTATTTATTTGAGAGATAGAGAGAGAAACATAGATGAGGGAGAGGGAGAATCAGGCTCCCTACTGAGCTAGGAGCCTGAGTTGGGACTTAATCCCAGAACCCCGAGATCATGACCTAAGGCAAAGGCAGATGCTTAGCAGGCTCAGTCACCCAGGCGCCCTAGAACTTCATTCCTTTTTAAGGCTGAATAATATTCCATTATATGCATGCACTGCATTTTGCTTTTCCATTCTGCCATGGTGGACATTTGGGTTGTTTTCACTTTTGACTACTGTGAATAATGCTGTTCTAAATGTAAATAAATGTCTGTTTGAATCCCTGCACTGAGTTCTTTGGGGTATATACCTAGTGGCAGAATTGTTGGATCATATGGTAATTCTGTGTTTAATTATTTTGAGGGGACACGAAACTGTTTCCCAGTGTTGCACCATTTTACACCCCCACCAGCAATACACAAGGCTTCCAATTTCTCCACATACTCCCAACATTATTTTACCACTATTCTTTGGACTTCATCATCAAGACAAGTAAATAATTATTACTCTATCTAGCATCTTTATTGATAATTTTTTTGCATATATTAGCCTTTGAACCTTTATAATAATCTTTGGTTTAAGTATTATATTTATTTTACAAAAGCAGAAATTGAATATATGGAAATATATTGGAAATATATGGAAATATATTGGAAATATGGAAATAATATATGGAAAAGTCAAACACATAAACTTTATTCCCGATTCTTTTTATTATTTGGAGAATTAAACAGTCTGTGTTCTTTGAGATTCTCTCCTGCATGTTCTGTTCGCTGGAATCAAAGCAAAAGGAAAGCTCACACATTGAGAGAAGATTCCAATAAAAGGATATCTGCTATTCTCCCATATGTCCTAAGGGATTAAAGAAAATAAGTGGTTTCAATAAGTGGCAGGAAGGACTTAGGTTAGATATTAACCGGGTGGCTGATGTAGGTGAGACACTGAAAAAGATTACCAAAGGATACTTTGAGATAATTAAAGTCCTAAAAAAATGCTATGGGGTGGATTCCATGCCAGTACCAGTCTGAGCGTGCAGGAAGTGATTCAATGAAACCTTGTTAATTATTTGAAAGCAGGGGAATAAATGGGATGTCCTCACATAGTTTCTATGAGTGATTTTTCTGATTCTATAGCAAAGATTCTACTGAATGCCTTTGTAGTACTCAGGAATGGTGTTCTTTGGTGTTTGGGGATGGATCTTTGTTTTTTTCACCTTTTCATCCTTGATCTTTGGTGAATTCAGGCTCCCTCCGTCAGTTCCATTTCAGACCCTGAGCTGGCCAGAGCCTCAGGGGAGAGGTCAGATATGACCTGACTCACCTGGGGTCTTGAGCTACTATGGGGGCAGTTATTTTTCTACACTACTGTTGATTTGGTTTAACTCTGTTCCTAGGGAGATTTGAAGGTGATGCAGTTTGGGCCTGAGATTAAAGGGGGGCTGTTTCAGTGGATTTATGGGTCATCCGTGCTGTGGCATAAGGAAGGGAGAAGGTGGCTGGTTTAAGACAGTAAACAGTGCAGCTTTTTCAACAGGCCAGCCCTGTTGGTGTGGAGCAGTAACCACAATACTATTGACTGAGGCAGGAGACTTAATCTTTAGAACCAACAGGCAGAGGAGAGTTAGAATGTAGAGCAGGAAATAGTTCTCGGTGATGACCCCATCCAACCGATGCTCTCACTGTACAGATGACAAAGCCAGGAGAGGTGTCAATTATTTTTCTTTTACATTTCAGAGTTGGAAATTGAAGAATGCAATGGAAAGCAAGATGAACGAGGCAAGAGTGTGTAGCTGTCAATCCTGGATCCAGGGAGCCATTTCTGACTGGTAAGTAGACCTTCCTTCAGATGTCCCACAGGATCCGCAGAGTTTACAGGACAATTTAAGAACACTCCAGACCAAATATCATCTCAATAAATACATGGAATTAAGGCCAACAGAACCTGGCTTAGCACTTATCTCATTCTCTTTGACACCAGAACTCCTTTCTGAGCCTGGATAACTTGACATAATATTCCTTAGATCTGCCTCTTTATCTCTGCAGGGCGGTTGGTGGCTTTTGAAGGTAGCCCCGATCAGTGCAAGATCAACACAAGTCCACAAACCTCCATCACTCTGTTTTTACCCACTCTAGATCGTTCTCTCTCACTTAATTGCCTGAATTTCAGTGTCTGTGCTAAGAACTCAAGCACAATATCACACACCTCTGGAATCCCTCCACTGGTTATGGGCTGTGCGTCGCAAGTGAGGATAACAGGATTTGGCCAATTATGAGTGCAGGGTTTTCCTGGCACTGCCTGGACCTGTGTAGAGCATGTCACGCTATGCACACTCCGTAGATCTGGCTCGATTTTACAATTTTTCACACCTATTGTAATCTATTCCTATCTCACACAAAGGCCCTGTCCAAGCATGCTTTGATGTTTTATATCATAAGTTGAAAAATTCAGGATTGAAGCATCAAAAGTAGAAACCCACACTTTTCTTTCTTATTCTGTACGATTTAGCATGTTAGTTTTTCTTTAAGCTTGCAGAGCATGGTGAACAAAATGTGTTGTGGTAGATTATGAAAGTGTTTTCCTTTTTCACTATGTTGTACACCTGAAACTTCATATTACACTGTATGTTAACTAACTGGAATTTAAATAACCTAAAAAAAAATTTAGGCAAGAAAATTTATTATGTTTATGAATCAGATAAATGTTTTAAAGAATCCTTCTTGGTGTAATAGCAGTTGTGGCCTGAGGGGGGGTCTGTGACATCAGATCTTAGTCACTCCCTCACTTCTGTGGTGAAGTGAAACAGTATGACTGCCAGGCTTTTGGCTATATCGGGGTTTTATGACTCTATGAAAGATCTAAATTCATCATCATTAAAAATGTATCTGTAAAGCCTGGGGGATGTTTCAGATATTAGCTTTATTGATACTAGCTTGTTTCAAAACCTTAGCTGTGGAGCTGGAATGTGCCAAGAAATATTTACTTTTTTTTTTTTTTCAAAGATTTTATTTATTTATTTGACAGAGAGAGACACAGCAAGAGAGGGAACAGAAGCAGGAGGAGCAGCAGAGGCAGAGGGAGAAGCAGGCTTCCTACAGAGCAGGGAGCCCAATGTGGGGCTTGATCCCAGGACCCTGGGATCATGAAGGCAGATGCTTAATGACTGAGCCACCCAAGCGCCCCAAGAAATCTCTACTTGAGTTAAAGGGAATACAGGAGGGGAGGAGGCAGGGGGATGTTATGAAGCCTCCTCTGGTTTCTGTTTCTTTGGTATTTTCCTCAGTGTGACTAACTAAAATGCTCTTTGTTCTTTGTTCCAGAGTTAGAGACATCTCTGCCACGCGGCACATAGATTTATAACTCTGAGCAAAGGTTTCAACAAATACGATTTCTTCACTCCAAAGTCCATCTATGTGTGCTCCCTGAAATAAAGAACAGAGCATTTCTGTCCGCTGGTCTCTAATCCCAGGAGCCTTGGCAGCAGAGGCAGGAGAGTTCCAAAAGGTCTTCTTATAGCTCTGGAGATAATGACCAGCTCAAACAAGCTGGCGCTGCACGGGGATACCCATGGACCTTATTGATCTCTCTCTCTCTCATTCCCCCTGCCCCCCTCAGGCTGACATAGTGTCTGTACTGACACAGGCAGTCCAGAAAAAAGAAACTGCGTCTTTTATAACTTTTACTTAAGTGGGAAAATGGAAAGATCATAACTGAAAGATCTGTTGAAAACATACTTCCTATCCAGACAATCCATTGTAATGTTGCAATTAAAAAGTTCTACTCGGAGCAAGAGAAAAAAAAAGAAAAAAGAAAAAGGACAAGATCTGGGATTAGGTTTAATGATCTGGAACACGCAAGGAACATAATAAAATTTCCGAGTCCATGTCGGGGATGTGGGTACGTGGTCTAAGACATACATTGGACTCTTCAATGGCTCTGTTACGCTGCCCCCACAATGCCGCCTCCCATGAAGACAGACAACAGGGAAGGTGCTTGAATTCTTTCAGGGCCTATGGCTGTCACTAAGCAATTTGTTTCTTTAACATCTCATATACAGATGGCTGAAATAACATGTAAATCTCACTTGGGTGACAGATTGGGGAAGTGCGGTTCAGATGTCCCATGAGACAATGTTTTTTGGAAAACATTAGACTTGAAGCCTATGTAATGACACCAAATCCACTCCAGTGCACAATTTTGTATAAGGCTTCCATTTTGGAGCCCAGCCCCAATACTAGTTGAATTCAGCGTTACATTACAATTTGACTTACTACAAGGTCTTGCGGCAGAGTCCAGGTATGGTAATCTTTGAATTACCTAATTACCAGTCAAGCAATTAGAATTACTGATTACCAACTGAATTACCAGTTGGCCTATGGAATACCAGAAAATTAAACACTATCTACCAGGGATGAGAAAGTATGCCCACTTAGAAACTCTGTTGAGGCGTACCTTGAAAACTGAAAACCATACGAATGCCAACAATGTCTTCGTTCTTGCGATGTTCACTGTCTTGTGATGAAAGAAGATTAAAAAATAATAACCTTAAATAATTTAAAGTGAATTAAGGGTATATCCAGGGCATTGTCAAAACACAGAAGAGGGACACGCTTATCCAGCCAGGTGATGAAGGCCAGGGAAGGTTGCCACTCTATCTAGTTATAAGAAATTCAAGGTACAATTAATGCAGCATGTCTTGAAGATGGCACTTTTCCTCCAAACAACTCAGACTTTTCCCAGAACCATTCCAAAGGACTTAGCTTTTCTCATAAATGCTCTATGTATTTGTTCAACTACATCCTCAGTGAATGGAAGAGAGGTCAGAACTATGTCACTGCGTTGTAACCTGAGGTCTCCTGCCTTGTCTACTGAATGAGTTACTGAATCAGTATTCCTCTCTACACATTTTTCCTTTAAAAGGCTGTTCTTTTCTGCCGTGGAATCTGAGCCCCTACTTCTCTATATATCATTCTTCACAGATCTCTATCTAACCACTTAGACAAACAGTTTAATTTCCTTCAACATGATTTCTTCTGGACAATAAAAACAAAATTGCCATAGATAGACCTTTTTTTTGCTTGTTTGTTTACATTATGAAAAATTTTACCTCCCTTGTACTTGCTGTTTTTCTTCCTCATCTTCTGCACACTCCCCGGAGGTCTCCTGAAGGGTCCACGCTCAGGCTGCATAGGCCTGGCAGTTATCTTCAGTACCAGGTCTCACTTCATAATGGAAAACCTGGAAATGTTTTCATTTCCTTTAAAGTTATCTGAGTCAGAGCTGAAAGGCAGAGAACGGGCTCTATCTGGGGTTGCTTGGTTCTAAAAGTGAATGTCCTCTTCTAATTGCTTGACAGAACTATTTATTTTCCATGACTTAGCAATTTATGTCCAGGACAGGGTCTGACTGACCGGACTTGTGACAAAATTAGATTAGAAAATCTCTTAATCCTTTTATCTTTTCTCATTGGCAATGTTCATGAGTCCATTATTCCTATGGACTAGAGAGGAAGGCAGGAATTACAAGGATGGGCCCATTGAATTGCAGGCTCGGGTTATGCAGAATATCCTTTGAATGGATTCCTTGTCCTACAATGGTTCTCGTAGAGTGGAAGGATTTGTTGTTGAGTAAGGGCTGGGCTTAAAATTCTTTAGCCCGAGTTTGGATGCAATGCAAGGTCACTTCAATTATCTTGGAAATGAGAGTGCTAGTAACCAGTGAAGAGACTATTTTGGAATAAGATAATGGCATTACCCAAAGCTGCTTCCAGTTTGATAATAAATATTATCCACCAAATGATATTATCATACAGATTTTCTTGTTAGATTTGCTTATAGAGTGAAATACACCAACAGAGGTTTTAACAGCTCTGTTGAGATACAATGTTCATACCATACAATTCATCCTATTAAAGTGTATAATTCAACAGATTTAGTGTAATCACAGAATTGTATAGCCATCACCACAATTTAATTTTAGAACATTTCCATCACACTAAAAAGAAACCCCATAACCATTAGCTATAATCAACCAATGTCCTCATTTCACCCCAGTCCTAGACAACTGCTTAACTACTTTCTGTCTTTATTGATTTGCCTATTACAGATCTTTCGTATCAATGGAATCATATAGTATGTGGTCTTCTGTGACTGGCTTATTTAATTTAGCATAACGTTTTTAAGGTTCATCCTGTTGTAGAATATATTAGGGCTTCATTCCTTGTTATTGCTGATTAATATTCCATTGATAGATATACATTTGTTTATTCATTCATCAGTTGTTAGACATTGGGATTATTTCCCCTTTTTGGCTATTATGAATAATGCAGCTATACAGTCTTATTTACAAAAGCCAATACCTGGAAACAATCTAACTGTCCATGGATGGATGAATTGGTAATGAAGATGTGAGATATCTATATCTATATATATATATATATGTGGTAATCTATATATATGTATAGATATAGATATAGATATCTATATCTATATATGTGGTAATCTATATATATGTATAGATATAGATATCTATATCTATATATGTGATAATCTATATATATGTGGTAATCTATATATATAGTAATACCATATAAATTAATATATATGGTAATTAGCCATAATAAAGGAAAATCCTGCCATTTGCAACATCATGGATGACCTTCAAGATGTTACGCTAAGAAAAATAAGCCAGGGAAAGATAAATACTGTATGATCTCATATGTATATGGAATCTGCAAAACAAACAAAGGAAAAGAGATCAGATGTGTTCGTTACCAGAGGTGGAGGGGGGATTGGATGAAGGCGGTCAAAAGGTATAAACTTT